CCCCCCAACCCCCCAACTCCCCACTCCCTACTCCCAACTCCATCACCACCCCACCACCACCAAATCCAATCCAAGAAAAGATGAAATCTTGAAAAATACAGGACACATATTGCAATATATCAACATCCTCTTATCTTTTCACATAATGAAGTAAGCAGCACAATTAGAAGGAAAAAAAGAAAGCTTCATGAAGTATTAATGCAGACATTTAGCTAGCGTTTAGCCATAGATTTTGGATCAGATTTCGAAAAATTTGTCTTCAAATATCTGTTTGGCAATGAAATTTGATCAAATTTTCCAAATAACTAAATTTTAACACAACTTCAACTAAAATACATGTTCGAACACAACTTCAAAATCTATGACCAAACGAAAGTTTTAACCAATAGGAACAAAAGTAAACAAGAATCTTGAGAAGTACCTGTTTAAAAAAAGAAATTGAAGACCTTCAAATTGAAGTAATTAAAACACCAAATGTTCTTCTTCTTTTATTAAAAGATAACTTCAAAAACAAACTTCACCAAATATTCTTCTTCTAACAATTGCCAAAAAGACAAAAAAAAATTTTACATTTTCCTCAAGAGTATAGTATTAGTAGAAATATTTGTAGTCTTTTATGAAAAAAAAAAAATCTGAATCTTGAATACATACCTGCAAAGATGTGACAGTTAATAAACACTAGAACAAATGACAGTGAAGAGAGACCATACTTCATTTGTCACTTTCTTTTGTTTGGACAAACTTATGTTCCGTCCAGTTTCCGCACACTTCGACTAAGTTATTAAACACAAATTATATATTCACTTTGTTTTAAGTTGTTTGTCTGGTACTGACTTGACAGTTCAAAATATTTTAGATTTTGTGATCTTAAATTAAAGATATGTAGAATGTATCAGAAGTTCAAAATGTGCTTTAATCTTGTGATTTAATTATGATACGTGAAAAGTTAGAATTAAAGAGTTACCGAAAAGGAATAAAAAGAAAGTAGCACAAATAATTTGAAATGAAGAGGGTAACTCATAACATTTTCTATTAAATGTTTTTTGTGTTTAGAATTTTTTTTATTTTTTATTTTTTATTTTCAAGAAATGAACTAAATTCTAGCCAGCTACACTCTGTAGAAATAAGTCAAATTTATTTGTAGCATAAGAAATAAAACTAAGCAAATTGGTCCCAAAGGATAAAAAGTGTCTTCTGTTGTTACACTTTTTTGGGGGTATTAATAAAGAATGTTTTCATATATTATACTTTTTGGCATTTCAAGATCTAAGAGATTACCAAGTCATTATAATTAAAAAAATAAAAAGGAAAAAAGAAAGATTCTAGCTTGAGACATTAAGCTGGCATATTATCGTTCTTATTAAAAATAGATAGGTAATTATTATTTTAGAAAATTAAAATATGATTGTGTATATTCTTTTTATTTTATCTTAGTAATAAACAAACTAATTAGCATAGACAACCTACGTAAAAAATACGTACAAAAAGCTTTTTGATTTCCTTTAACTTATTTTCTATTCATTTCCTTCAATTCTATAATCTATAGTACTCATTCTGCTTGGAATTTTCAAAAATACTGTCATATGTGTGTTATTCTGATCAATTTTTAAAAAAAATGTACTATTTTTAGAAGATTTGACACACTCCTAATAATATTTTTTTAAGGAGTTGGAAGTAACATAAAACAATGTATAAAGAACCATATGGAGGGACTTGAGGGACCTAAATTAAACTAAATTTTTAATAGGTATAACTATATATATTCTTATACCTAAGACACAAAAACAAGGGGGCTTTGAGGGCCCTAAACCCTTTCACCCATCCCCTTCCACTTTTTGTCATTTTGTGTTTTTTGACGTGGAATCGTGAATATCAGTTTTAATTTAATAATGTTCTCGCTTATTATGCGATTCATATCTTCAATTTATCAAATCGGTGAGAAAGAACTTAGACTTGTAAAATTATGATATAATTAAGTTTGAACTCACAATTTCATATTATGTTTGGCCTTTTATTTCATCTTATGATATTTTATTTCCCTATTTTTTATCAAACAAAAATAGGAATTAAATTATTTTAAAAAAATATTTTAGTATCATGGGCTGTGTGTGACCTTTCACTTTCACTTTATGAGTCAGGCCTGATGTGATTTTTCGGCCCATTTAGCTTTGTGGCCCACTTTCCTTTTGGCACTTTCTATTTTCAGTCTTTTTCTTTTCTTCTTTTTGCATGTGTTTCTGATTTGTTTGAAAAGCAATTTGTGATTTTTTATTTATTATAAAAAATGGAGTTGAATCATAAATCACCGGCTTGATTCCCTCACTTCCTTGAAGTCGGTCGCTAATCGGTTGTAAGCTGAGACTTATGTCTTGCAATCACAATTTACTATTTCAATGCTAATTATACTACTGAATTGAATTTCTAGTCAGATCATTCTTGCGTTTCGGATATGAAGTCTCCTTTGAAACTAATCTTAGGTATTCCTTTGGCTAGTAGAATGTTATACCACAAATCCAAGGAGATATATATATATATATACATATATATTCCCTAAAAATATACATCTTGCATTCATTTCATTTGATACAAATAATGAATACAAACAAAAAAATTCACATGTCACAAAAGTGCTCCACCTAAATAGAAGTGTCCAATCAACCTTTTTGGCCTTTCAACAGCCAATTATTTTAAGGTAAGAAAAAATGAATTATTATTAGGTACTACTATCATTTATCAAAGACTATATTGCATATTCTTGATATATACTTTTATCCAACAAAAAATAATGGTTCCATAAACACCTTTCATTTGTTTCCTGACCGATGTTCAATATTTATATTAGATTTCAATTAATTCAAATTCGCGTCAGATAGAACCCCATTCAGTTGGTAACGTTTTCTATAAAAAAAAAACAAAATATTCTAGACTCAAATTCAAAACTTTTAATTAAAAAAGGAGCAACATCATGCATTATTTCATTTTCAATGGTTGAACCACCAAGTACCAACAAATGAAAAGGAAAGTGGAGAGACTTACAACTGTTCAAAAAATATTAAATCGATAAATACAAGATACATGTCTTTCGATCATAAACTTTTACTTATTATGAGATAGTATACATATTTCTAATATAAGTTAACTTGGCTGATATATATAAAATATTTTTTATTTTCTTATAAAAATGAAAGTAAATGATTTTGCTAATAGAACTAGGAAAAATAAGTTTTATAATATTTCAAGAACCTTAAATATTAAACTTATAAAATTTAAATCTCGAACAATCCATCCCTCGCCACCCTTAAACCCCCACCTCTTACCCCATCCTGTCTCATAATATTTTGCTAAATTACATAAATATTTTTAAGATAGTATTTTTCGCCGTATCAAACACACCCTAAAATTAAAAATTCATAGAAAATGATGGACGGTAAAATCCACAAAATTCAATGTGAAAGTCATTTGATGAGACTCAAATATCAATGTTCTTGGAAATTGTTTTGCATTGCATTGAGAGAATAATCAATGTCGATATTAAAGAGAGCGTAAACAAAAAATGTGACAAATATTTTGGAACGAAGTATTTCTTTTGGAGCCTCGAGAAATCCGCAATAGTTGTTCCATTCGTTCATTTTTACTTGTTACTATTTGACTTGATATATTCATTAAGAAAATTATTATTGATATAGATATTTTACCAAACTAGCCCTATTAAATGATGTTTAGTATTAGATCTTGAAAAATGATTTGGAGAATAAGTATTTAATGCTGAGGGTAAAAGATGGAAAAAATAATTGTCTTTTCTTGATACTACCTCCGTCCACTTTTAATTGTCATAATTTCCTTTTTTAGTGTCAAATGATAATAACTTTGACTAACATTTTACGATTGTATTTTTTCATCATATTGATATGCAAAAAAGTGGAATTTATAGTACTTTTCGTATAGTTTTTGAATATCTAAATATTTTGTTTTACATATCAAATTAATGTAATTTAATTTAACTTTGAAAATTAGTCAAATTGACTTTTGAAAAGCGCAACATGACAATTAAAAGTAGACAGAAGGAATATATCAAAAGTGATAAGTAAAAATGAAAATCTATTTTAAGAATAAATGACAAGTAAAAGTGAATGGAGAGAATATTTGATAATTACGCACTAAATAACTCACTCTTGTGCAATAGTTTACGAATCACACAAAAAATATAAATCGTACTAAACACGCTCGATATAATAAATTCGACTGAGAAGACGTTGACAAAGGAAATCAAAACTTTCATTTTAGAATTTATATAATTAGACTTTCATTTTAGAATTTATTTATTGGATTCGATCTTTAAGGTTCTTGACATTGAGTTCATTATAGTATTAAAATTGTGAGTTCAAAACTATTCGATTCGACAATATATTACTTTTTGTGATCATTAATGCAACGAGGTAGCCACATACAATGAAGGGTATAAAAGGTGGTCAATTAAACATCCTTCTTCGAAAATTTACTCTGTGTATATAGATAATTATATTGCGTAAATACATATATATATAGAATTCTGAACATCCTTAGTGAGAATCCTGATTTCAAAGTCATATAGAAAAAAAGTTAAACAGATGAAAAATGAATGAATGAACAAATTTATCAATGATCTCTTTAACTGATTCAACAATCATAAACTTAAAAATTACAACTTTCTTTTCTATGTTATACTATATAGTATATATAAACTATTGTTTGCAAAACATTGGTTATGTTCCAAAACTGTGAAAAAATTTCTGATGTTGACAAAATATTCAAACAACTACTGAATGTTCAAGTTGCTTGCTAAATATTCTTTGGCAAGGGAAATGATTTTAGCCCTCCTTCCTTCGAAACAGGTGATCGAGAATATCTCGATGATTTATGCACCTTAAAATTGACAGTAGGAACCTTACGAGCGATAGCTTGCCAGACCATTTGAACAGCATCGTTGTCCTTGGAAGGATATTGATACTCAAAGAAATTTTCGATCTCTTTTAACCTTTCCCACATTCTAGTCCACTCTTGTTTCGTGATGCTCCTGATGAAGTTTATGAGGAAATGTGGTTTGATAGCATCTGATGTACGGACGAATATGCAGAACTCTGAATAGTCAAGAACATCTTCGTAGGGAAGCTCTATTTCGTCACTAATGATGACTGGTACACAGTGAGATGCAATAGCATCAAAGAGACGGTTTGATGAGGGAGTGTCACCTGCAATGTTGAGACAGAATTTGGAAGAGTGCATACCGTCTGTTGCTTGTTTTACTCCGCCTTTTAGTATACTTCCAAAGGAGAAATGAACATCTTTCTCATCTTTCAGCATATAGAATAACTCTTGTCGAATAGATCCACCCTGAAGATGAAAAGCACGTAAGAGTTAGAAACAAGAAATGAAAGAACTAGAAACAGGAAAAGTAAAAGAGTAACGAAATAGGGTACATTGTGACAATCTTGCTAAAGTTCAAAATTCTAGTTCCTTCGACATGGATTTAGTGTGTTATCATTGAAGATCTCACACACTATGTATCACAATGTTAATCTGGTATCTTGGCAACTAAAAGAATCAAAACTTCGCCTCATGCATCCACAATTTTACTCGAGAGGTTGTCTGGTAGATACTTGTATAAAGAGTAATAGAAATTCAGGGAAACATTCAACTAATCTAATCCAGATGGAAGAATATATGTATGCAAAAAGTTCTAACTTTTCTGATTTGCTTTATTTTGATAAGCAGCATACAGGCCACAGTCCACAACTAAATGAAAAAAAGAATAGCGATATCTAAACACAAGGCTTGATCCTAATGACTTAGCAATCCAATATCAGTTTGTCTGCAATCGTGTTGCTTATGTCCTTCTCATTAACCTTCTAAAGACCAGAACAAAGGGGAAAAGAAAGGAGAATATAAAATTGATCCTTCTGTGTGATATTTCAGTTTCAGAACTTGGAGCAGTAAATCCAAACAACTTATATTTTTTTTCAAGTTACAAGAACCAAATAAACAATTGCAGGCTGCCACTAAAGTGATCATGCCTCCAAACTCTGCGCTAAATAAGCTATCAGTTGCCCTTTTTATGCAGTGTCACGCCAAATTACTGTAATCTGTCTAACGATTCTGCTAAGTTTGTTAAGTGATAGCTACAATTTCATCGTAATATTTCACTATTCAACAAAATGGACATAGACGGGGAAGTACTACCTATTGTATTGTACTAACCATATTAATTCCTGTACCTCCTACAAAGCTTAGGCAGGTCCGAGATGCCAAGTCCCAATACGATTCTTCAAATTCTCACCTGAAAAGGTTATGCTGCTCATACAGTGACATATCGCCTTGTTATGTTCCTAACAAGTTATTTTGCTTCACATCATCCAATTTAGCACCAATCTCCAACTCTTCTTC